GTTTACACATTGTTCCCTTGGGATGTGTAGGCTAGGTGGATTAGCCATGGTAAATTCAGTGTTGTGGGGGTTTGGGACTGGGTGGGATGCTCTTCGGAGGGTCTGTGCAGACTTGATGGGCTGAATAGCCTGCTCCCACATTATAGGGATTCTATGAATTGAACCTGCCTCTTCCACATTTCCAGGCAGTGCATTCCATGCCCTAATTTCATCTCATCATCCTTGCTTTTTTTGCACATTACTTTAAATCTATGCTGGCTCATTCTTGTTCTACCTCATTCTTTGACACTACAAAATTCAATACAAGAAGTATCTTTAACATTTTCTGCCAGTATCCACAGCAGCAACAAGTGTAATTGACAACTGTGTCATGGGAATGGGTTGCACAACACAGTTATTTCATTAGAAAATAAAAATGGAAAAAAAAACAGAAAGTTCTGGATGTACTTAGCAGATCAGAATGCACTACACAGTGAAGGTGAGCTTAATAACTTAACTAGCACCCATCAGAGTTCACGTGCATTTTTGGGTATTGTCCTTAACACTTCACTATTTCCGAACAAACATTTGCACTCGAAGTAGACTTTATGAAATGTAAGTCAATTCGGGTGGATTTCCGTGGAGGAGGTGAAAAGGTTGAATCAGGAAACACCCTGACCTCGCAATCCCATTTTCTTTTAAAATAAAAAATCATGTTCACATTATGGGGAGGCCGTGCAGAATGGAGATGGGACTATTCCACTAGGAGGCAGGTCTGAAACCATTACAAAGTCAGCTGGATAGCCTAACCAGTCCATTCAGATGCTTGCCTCCATTTACTGGCCCAGTTTTATAATAAATGTTAAACTTTCAAACTTTCCCACTTTACTAGCATAAAGACCAACCCCATGTCACGTCCCCCTGCCCTTGTCATATCCCTCATACCCTCCATTTTCTCCATTAATCCCTCTTTTCTCCCTTATGTTTCTCATGGCACATCTCTCTGTGAATCAGTTTGCCTGCAGAAATAACCGATCCACAGAGGACGCCATTTCCCTAGCCCTGCACGTCAGACTCCTGCTTGTTGACTGCAGCTCCTCCTTCAACACCATTATCCCCTCCAGACTAATCTCAAAACTGCATGACCTTGATTTCGACTCTGCCCTCTGCAACCGGATCCTCAGCTTTCTGACCCATAGGCCGCAATCAGTGAGGATAGGTAACTGCACCTCCTCCACAATAATACTCAACACTGGAGCCCCCCAGGGATATGTCTTCAGCCCCCTACTGTACTCCCTGTACACCTATAACTGTGTTACCAAATTCTAATCGAACGCCATCTACAATTTCGCTGACAACACCACCGTAATGGGATGGATATCTAACAATGACATGTCAAAATACAGAGGGGAGATAGAAGGCTTGGTGACGTGGTGCAATGAGAACAATCTGTCTCTCAATGTTGGCAAAACGAAAGAACTGATCATCGACTTCAGAAAGAAAGGAGGAGAACACGCTCCCATCTACACCAATGGAACTGAGGTTGAGAGAGTGCAGAGCATCAAGTTCCTCAAAGTGACGATAACTGATGACCTGTCCTGGACTTCCCATGTAAATGTGACAGTCAAGAAGGCACAACAATGCCTCTTCTTCCTCAGGCGGCTCAGGAAATTAGGCATGTCCATAAAGACCCTCACCAACTTCTACCGATGCACCACTGAAAGCACACTGTCTGGGTGCATAACGGCCTGGTATGGCAACTGCTCTGCCCAGGACCGTAGAAACTGCAGAAGGTGGTGTGCACAGCCCAGACCATCACGGAAGCCAAGCTTCCATCCTTGGGCTCTATTTATATGGCTCGCTGCTACGGAAAGACGGCCAACATCATCAAAGACCCATCGCACCCTGTTAATGACCTCCTACAACCTTTTCCGTCAGGCAGTAGATACAGAAGCCTGAAAACACGCACGATCAGGTTCAGGAACAGCTTCTTTATGGCTGTTATCAGACTGTTGAATGGACTCTAACCTCAAATAATGTAGCCTGCAATGTAACCTGTTTGCCTCTAAGTCTTTTTGAGCTGTGCATCCTTTGCTTGCTGTGATCTGCCTGTACTGCTCGTAAACAAAGTTTTTCACTGTATTTCGGTACATGTGACAATAAAACCAATCAATCAATCAATCCATAGCCATTCGCCAAATATCCACTACAGATAGAACTTGTGGGATTGAAATGATGATTTTTAAAAGAATTAAACTTGTAACAGTCTAATCAAGCTCTTAGTCAAACATGATTCTGGGAAAAAAAAAATTCTCATTTATACCATCCACTTAGTATTTTTAACTCCTTTCAAGTGGGTACATCTTCACTAGCTATGGTATATTATGGGTACATTCTGTTAGGACAAAGTCATAAACACTGCAGTCCTTTCAAAGGCAGAGCTTCACATCTGTTAGCATTCTTTGAACAGAGACTGTTTAATTGGCTTGGGCATTCACAGGATGGATGGCGGTGATATATCCAAGGAATTTTGATACGGACTGGTAGCTGGAACCAGGCGATCAGTGGTATGCCAAAAATTCCACTTTTCCTCGAAAGCTAGACATAAAGGCCCTAAACATTGGCTACTTCACCAGGCAGTCACTAACTGACAGTAAAGGTAAAAATGGCAACTCCCTTCTGTGGGCTGGTGTCCGCTAATATAATAACTTGCGGCTGCAGTGATTTTTTTGGCAGCGGCATCAACATCAGAAAAACAACTCATCGGACTTGGAAGCTTCTTGTGTGGCATTTGTGGTACAACTTGCTTTTCCTAAATTGGCCTCTCCAGCCATTAGCAAGACACTTCATCTGAAAGAGATTACTTACTACTTGTCTTTTGTAGATTGAAGGGTACAGATACCAGTCAGTTATAAAAAAAAACCATGCTTCACTAACCACATTAAAGACATAAATTGCAGCTTAAAACTATTAATCAAAATGTGAATGAAGACCATGTGCTGAGAAGTGGTTCTGGAGCTTTTGAAACTCAGCCAAGCATGCATAATAGGTTCAGCTGTAATTACAATTGCTGGCTAATGTAAACAGTGGAATCTATTGAAACTGAAAAATCCAGTTAAACTTTTTGTTTTCCTAAGCAAGGCCTTTCAACCAAAGTAGCCCAGGAGCAGGTGGGGCTTTTTTTTTCTCCAAGCAGAAGCTATTGATTTTTTTTTTCAATTTTAAAAGGTCTCTGGGCATTTAAATCACTTATTTCCACTAGAGATCACAAGCAGTGTTTTGCTCAGTTTTGAATCCATAAGAAGAGCACACTTGGCAACAGGAAAAGTACATTAATGCATTTCAATGCTGACACAATACTGATCACTGTAATGGTCAACTTACCTTTACAGAATTGAGTCATAAAATTAACTTCCATAGGAACAAAATATCTAATTTACAAAACAGCATTTAACTATTGAAACTAAAAGAACATACGTTTCCAATGCAAGCTTCTTTACAACAAGCCACAGCTCTTTTTGGTTCCATAGCTGATCCCTGCTCAGACTTCTCCCTGCTTGGCTTTTTCTGACCTGCATCCCAATGCTCCACTTGCTTCCATGCCCTCCTGATCATTTTCTCTATTTCCCTCACCCATCTGAGCACCCTACCTTTATGGTGAAGAGAAAATGTGGTCAAAACTCAGCTTAGGATCAAAGAGGGCACCAAGGCTAAGAGAGTGGCACAGCAGCAATGATATAAAGTTTCTGTGTGCTGAGGAAGAACATTTCCTTCACAGATACAAATGTGATAACATAGAAGAATGTTCAGCTTTTGGGTGGCAAGTAGTTTTTTAAAATCTATGTGTTCATTCCTTTCAGAAATGGGAGTTGCTTACATCAAGCACCATAGGTCTCTTGTGTAATGGGTTATTTGTAGCTATTTCTTAATCAACCTGTTCAGAGCTGTTATTACACACCCCTAGAGTAGGTGGGACTTGAACCCTGGTCTCCTGGCCCACAGGTAAGGATACTACCACTGCACTACAAGAGCCCATGGTTAGTTGTAAGTTGCAGCAGCAATTAATCTAAACCAGGACTTCCTGAAATGCAGTCAGCCCCAGGTGGGGTGGAATGCCGTGATTTTGGGGACCTGGCACTGGTTGCCAAGGAGTTCTGATCAAGTTTTATAAGAGCTGCGCTCCTGCTCCAATAAACTTCTGCTCTCTCAGAAGTCCTGCTGCACTCTTACAGTTCTCAGTAAAGGTCATGACCATTTTCAAGGCTCAATATTGGGTCATACCAGGGAAGAAAATTTGGCAAGTACTAACCTAAAGAACAACAAAGCGAAAAGCATGAAGCAACTTCATGGCTTTTGCTGAGCAGAAATGGGACAATTATTCCCCAAAAATGATGGGAACAAATTTTTCTGAAGAAGGATCTATGCCCGAAACATCAGCTTTCCTGCTCCTCTGATGCTGCTTGGCCTGCTGTGTTCATCCAGCTCTACACCTTGTTATCCCAGATTCTCCAGCATCTGCAGTTCTTAATATCTCGGGAACAAATTGTTCTCTTGTTTCTGCTCACGATCTTGATGTTTAGAAATTTTGCTTGCATAGGAGACTTCTTTGTTTCAGGCTGAAGCCTACGGCAATGTGCAAAGCAGGATTCCATAGGCTGGAATCTTCTGCTTTTGTCAGGTATCTTGCATGCTTTCTGAAAATGTAGTGAGACTCCCAAGCTGACTTATCAGACTACGGCCTAACATATCTTCCTCCAAATAGGCAGCATCGGAGATCAGTGACAGACCTTTCTCCAAAATCAAGTCTCTAATGCCTTTTTAAAGAAATAAATCCACCCTCCTTATTCAATACAGCCTGCATATGACACCAGACCCACAACAATGTGTGCTCTGAAATGCCCTAATAATCAACTCAGTTATGTATGGATCAGCAATAAATCTGGTCTTACCCACACCTGATGCATGAATTTTTAACAAAATGCTAATAGTACATAAATCACAATTGCTTGTTTTATTTACAGATTGAACAGCAAGTGTCCCTGGAACATCTGAAGAGTATCCAGGCTGCCTTTGAGGTCAGTTTTCCTCATTCACAATCTAACATGCTATCCTGGATCCTAATGATTCAAGTAAAGCTTAAGTGAAAGGTGTATTGTGGAATAGATGAATGTTCACTTAATTACAGTCTAGTGAAGGAAAATAAGAATCTTCTGCAATAATTACAGCATATAAAACTAAAGTAAAATATTCTCATGGCCATTATTATTCCTTCAAATAACATATCAGCACTTAGTAACTCAAAGTTATTAAGAATGTAGAGTTAATCAAGACTCATTAAGATTGATATTTACTGTTAGGGTTAACAAGAGATCACAGCCTCCAGTATGGTATCTTACCATTGTTAATCTAGCCAGCCCCATTTCATCCAAGTATTGGTCTGTTTCAGGCAAGAGATCCTTATTAGTTCGAAAATGAGGATCCCATAACATAAATAGGAGTCCACTTACTATTTTTGGTCTGAACCTGCACCATACACATTGCAATCAATTCCACAAGTGATGGAGCTGAGGACATGTGAAAGGCTAGTGTTGAATTATATTAAGATATGCATAAATAATCTGGGCTGTACTTGAAGAGGGATACCCGCACTCCATAATCATGCTGTCCACTCTACAACTTGCTTTGCTATTCCCCATTCTGGCCTGATCTTGAGACTTCCTTGAACTGCATCAGAATGGCTGTTTGGAAGCTTTTTCTTTCTGAAATGACAAACAGAGAATTAACTCAGTCAGGACAATCATTCAGTTATAAGATAACAAGGTGTGGAGCTGGATGAACACAGCAGGCCAAGCAGCTTCAGAGGAGCAGGAAAGCTGACGTTTCGGGTCTGGACCCTTCTTCAGAAAACCTAAAGTTATAACCTGTCTTTAGCCCTGAATTGCACTCAGTGGTTACCATCACACACTAAAGGAGAGATTGTTCTAGGAAAATGATACAACTATTGAAAACTGTGGGAGGTTCAGATGACATGGCTGTCTACAAGTCGTTTTTAGATATTAATTAGGATTAAAAAGCCATAACTCTAGTATCACAGAGACAGAAAAGTAGAAGACAATAATCTTGTGATGTCTTTTGATCACTGCTCCAGTGTTTCACAGATTAACATGGATGGCTTTAGACTGCAGTCAGTTCAATGTCAAAACATCAAGGGACCAAATACCATGCCTGGACTTTTTATAGGCAATTTGTCTGGACTGTGCTGTGATTACCTCTGTATAAATACCAGGTCGCACCTACATCATGACCCACCCAAAGTTTTCAAAATCAGGAAGAAATCTTAATTTAAAATAGCAGTGGTGGGTACCAACTAGAGGCACATCTTATTAAATGAAATTAAATATTATGATTAGGTCAGCAAACAATTTAACCACAGAGATAACAAGGTGTAGAACTGGATGAACACAGCAGGCCAGACAGCATCAGAGGAGCAGGAAAGCTGACGTTTCGGGTCTGGACCCTTCTTCAGAATGA